AGGAAAGAGTGCTTGTGGTCACTCACAGACAAGAGCATAGGCCAGGACAGTAGTATAGACCTCTCCCTAGGTCATACCACCTTGGAAAAACTGAAAACTTATGGGTCCCTAGAAGTATCTCTGAGAACAGTTGCACAAAACCCCTGAAGCCTGGGACAGTGAGCCCTCCACCCTGGAAACAGAGTCCCTCTTTAACAAAGAGCTAAAAGTCAAGAAATTGACAGGAAAAATGAGCAAAGAACAGAAAAAATTCTGATCATAGAAAGTTACTATGGTGACAAAGAAGATCAAAACACACACTCGTAAGAAGATAACAAAGTCAAAGCTCCAACATCCACAGACTCCACAAAAAATGTGAATTTGTCTCAGGCCATGGAAGAGCTCAAAAAAAGAATTTTGAAAATCAAGTAAGAGAGGTAGAAGAAAAATTGAGAAGAGAAATGAGAGTGATACAAGAAAATCATGAAAGAAAGAGTCAGCAGCTTGGTAAAGGAAACACAAAAAAAATACTGAAAAAAATAATACCTTAAAAAAACAGACTAGGCCAGATGGCAAAAGAGGTACAAAAAGCCAATGAGAAGAAGAATGCCTTGAAAAGCAGAATTGGCCAAATGGAGGAAGAGACACAAAAATTCACTGAAGAAAAAAACTCCTTAAACAGTAGAATTGGTCAAATGGAAAAGGAGATACAAAAGCTCACTGATGAAAATAATTCCTGCTCTTACCTTGACCCGTCCTAGGGAATCATTTCAAATGGTGAGGTACTCTCTTGATCCAGAGAACCCCACAAAATCATGCAAGTCAAGGGGTTCAAATCTCCGGGTCCACTTCAAGAACACCTGTGAAACAGCCCAAGCTATCAAGGGCATGCATATCCGAAAAGCTACCAAGTATTTGAAAGATGTCACATTGAAGAAACAATGTGTTCCCTTCAGGCAATATAATGATGGAATTGGCAGGTGTGCCCAGGCTAAGCAGTGGGGTTGGACACAGGGTCGTTGGCCCCAAAAGAGTGCTGAATTTTTGCTGCATATGCTTAAAAATGCAGAGAGTAACACATAACTGAAGGATTTGGATGTGGATTCTCTTGTCATTGAGCATATCCAGGTTAACAAGACTCCTAAAATGCAACGGCATACTTACAGGGCTCATGGTCAAATCAACCCATACATGAGTTCTCCTCGCCATATTGAGATGATACTTACTGAAAAGGAAAAAATTGTTCCTAAACCAGAAGAGGTTGCTCAAAAGAAAAAGATATCCCAGAAGAAACTGAAGAAACAAAAGCTTATGGCATGGGAGTAAATATGACATTAGACTGCAAATAAAAGTGAAGTGAAAACATTAAAAAAAAATTCCTTAAAAATTAGAAGTAAGCAAATAAAAGCTAATGACTTTATGAGAAATCAAGAAACAATAAAACAAAACCAAAAGAATGAAAAAATAGAAGACATCATGAAATACCCCATTGGAAAAACAACTGACCTGGAAAATAGATCCAGGATAGATAATCTTAAAATTATTGGATTACCTGAAAGCCATGATAAAAAAAAGCCTACACATTATCTTTTAAGAAATTGTCAAGGAAAACTGCCCTGATATTCTAGAACCAAAGGGTAAAATCACCTCCTGAAAGAGATCCCAAAATGAAAACTCCCAGGAATATTACAGCCAAATTACAGAGTTCTCAGGTCAGGGAGAGAATATTACAAGCAGCCAGAAAGAAACAATTCAAGTATTGTGTAGCCACAGTCAGGATAACACAAGATTTAGCAGCCTCTACATTAAAGGATCAGAGGGCTTGGAATATGATATTCTGGAGGGCAAAGGAGTTAGGATTACAACCAAGAATCACCTACCCAGCAAAATTGAGTATAATTCTTCAGGGGAAAAGCTGGATATTCACTGAATTAGAGGACTTTTAAGCATTCTTGATGAAAACACCAGAGCTGAATAGAAAATTTGACTTTCAAATATAAGACTCAAGAGAACCATAAAAAAGTAAACAGGAAAGGGAGATCATAAGGGACTTAATAAGGTTAAACTGTTTACATTCCTACATGGGATGATGATACTTGTAACTCACAAAAACTTTCTCATTATTAGGGCAGTTAGGAGTATATGTAGACAGAGGGCATAGATGTGAGTTGAATATGAAGGGATGATATATAAAAAATAAAATTAAAGAGTGAGAAAGAAGATTGCACTGGGAGAAAGGGAAAGGGAGGAGTAGAATGGGGTAAATTATCTCACATAAAAGAGGCAAGAAAAAGCTTTTATAGTGGAGAGGAAGATGGGGGAGGTGGCAGGAGTGAGTGAACCTTACTCTCAGAAAAATTGCCTCAAAGAGGGAATAACATACACACTCAATTGGATATAGAAATCTATTTTACCCTGTAGGAAAGTGGGAGGGGAAGGGTAAGAAAAGAGGTGGGGGAGGTGATAGAGCAGAAGGCAGATTGGGGAAGGTGGCCGTCAGAAGCAGAACACTTTTGAGGAGGGACAGGGTGAAAGGAGAGAGAATAAATGGGGGGAATAGGATGGAGGGAAATACATTTAGCAATCATAAATGTGAAAAAATGTTGAAGCAAGGTCCTCTGATAAAGCCCCATTTCTCAAATATATAGAGAACTGAGTCAAATTTATAGAAATAGGAGCCAATTGATAAATGATCAAGAGATATAAACAGTTTTTAGATGAAGTAATCAAAGCTGTCTATAGCTGTATGAGAAGGTGCTCTAAATAGCTATTGATTGGAGGAAGGCAAATTGAAACAATTCTGAGGTACTACTTCATATCTATTAGATTGACTAATAGGAAAGAAAAAGAATGACAAATGTTGGAGGGGATGGGGGGAAGATAAGACATTAATGCAATGTTGATGGAGTTGTGAACTGATTCAATCATTCTTTAGAGCAATTTGGAACTATGCCCAAAGGCTACAAAATCATGCATACCCTTTGACCTAGCAGTGCCTTTACTAGGTCTAAATCCAAAAAGAGTTTAAAAAAAAAAACAAAAAAGGACCTATAAGTATGGAAATATTTAGAGTAGCTCTTTTCTGGTGGCAGGGAGTTGGAAATTGGGAGGATGTCAATCAATTGGGTAATGGCTAAACAAATTGTACTATGTGATTGTGATGGACTACTATTGTACTATAAGAAATGATGAGCAGGATGCTCTCAGAAAAACCTGGACTTACATGAACTGCTGCAAAGTGAAATGTACTGTGTACTAAGTAACAACAATATTGTAAGATGATCAGCTGTGAATGACTTAGCTATCCTCAGCAATACAATGATCCAAGACAACTCCAAAGGATTTATGATGAAAAATGCTATGCGTCCCCAGCCAAAGAACTGATAGTGTCTGAGTACAGATTGAAGCATACTTTTTTTTAACTTTATTTTTCTTGTCTATGTTTTCTTTTACAACATGACTAGTATGGAAATATATTTTACATGACTACATATGTATAACCTACATCAAATTGCTTGCCTTCTCAATGAGGGAGGTGGGGAACAAGGAAGGGAGAGAATTTGGAACTCAAAGCTTTAAAAACAAATGTTAAAATTGTTTTTACACATAATTGGGGAAAAATAAAATATTAAATAAATTAAAAAAAGAAAATTAAAAACAAAACAAAATCAAGCAAAACAAAAACATCATCAATGTTTACTAAAATCAATGAGTATAATAGTTAAAATTCTTAAAACTCATATAATCATAATTCCAGTTTAAATTTAGTACCAACACCCTGAACTTTGCATGCTGAACTGGGCAGCACCTCCACCTCTTCATTTGAACAGATAAGGAAGCAAAGAATCAGAGCCACAAGGTAAGTTAACAACAGAGCCTGCGTTATAATTTAAGCTAGGTTGACTCTTGGTCACATTAACTCCATGCTGCCCACCCTGAGTTCTATTCTACTATAAGCTTAAAGGAGTAATAATAGTTCTTCCTATACGCCTAGGACTTATAACTTTTTTAAAAAAGTTTTTTTTTTTTTTTAAACCAATCATCTTCTCCTATCATCACAATGGTCTAGATCACCTCTAAGGTTCCTTTGAGTTCTAAATTGTTATGATGCTATTTTCCCCTTTCTCAGAATGATAGAATCTTGTCCTATGACATTAGTAATACAAGTATTGTTAATCCCATTTTACTAATTAAAAAAAGGAAATCCAATAAAATATAACCTTCTTGAGGACAGGGACTATCTTTGTATCCCCAATACTGTCTTGAGCACGTAGTGTCGTTCAGTTGTTTTCAGTCACGTTTGACTCTTGGTGACCCCATTTGGGGTTTTCTTGGCAGAGATACTGGAGTGGTTTGCCATTTCCTTCTCCAGCTCATTTTATAGATGAGGAAACTGAGGCAAACAGGGTTAAGTGACTTGCCCTGGGTCACACAGTAGTAAGGGTCTGATGCCAAATTTGAACTCAGGAAGATGATTCTTCCAGACTCTAGTCTAGTCTACCCACTGTGCCACCTAGCTGTCCTGGGCACATAGTAAGCGCTTTAAAATTGCTTGTTGAATTGAATCAAGTTAAACTGAATCGAATTGAAGCAGACACTTGATATAGTGGACAGAGCACTGGACCTGGAGTCAGGAAGTTGTAACTTCAAATACTCCTACAGACATTTACTAGCGGTGTGACCCTGGGTGAGCCACTTATCTTCTGTATATCTCAGTTTCCTCATCTAAAAATTATGTATAAAAAAGCATCTACCTCCCAGGGTTGTTGTGAGAACAAACTGAGATAATATTTGTAAAGCTCTTAGCACAGTGCCTGGCATTCGGTAAGCACTTATTAAGTGCTTATTTCCTTTCTTCCTAAAGTGCTTTGTAAACCTTAACATACTACATATAAATACTTACAATAAATCATTAATATGATAATTACATTATTATTATTATCATTAATTGAATTGAGCTAGATTCAGTTCAGGCTGACTCATCCTTAGCAACCTATAAATTACACACAGAGAGCCCTCACCTCTTAGGATGGTGACGTTCTGGAGGATGGCTCCGTGCTGGACATCCACGGCCTTCATTTCCTCCATGACCATTGAGAGGTTCTGGATGTCAAAGTCCAGCCGGGCACGGAGCAGGCTGAAACGCTCCCTCAGCAAGTCCGTGGTGCTCAGCATGACGGAGACAGACTTATTGAGGTAGTAGAGCTCCTCAGCATGGGTGTGGAAGCCCAGCGTGCAGGAGAGCCGCACGTCGTCCAGGTACTTGAGCATACTGTGTACGTGGTTGTCTGTGGCATTGATGTTGGTGAAAATGGTGTTTATCTCGATCTCATGTGAAGCCATACGACCTTCCAGGGTCTCGAAACGCTCCATAGTCCGGTTCTGGGCATAGCGCGTATGGTACTGCAGGTCATGCATGTTCTCCTCGTGGTCATCCAGGAAGGATGAGACATTGTCCAGCTGCAGCTGCAGGCCCATCACCTGCAACACCAGGTCATGGATGCCCTCAGAATTTTGGTTGATGCGCTGGGAAGCGGTACTGAGGCTGGTCTGTATGCTCTTGGCCAGTTCCCCAGTTTTGGATGAGGTGGCCCGCAGGCCACCAAAGAGCCGGGTGTAGTTCTGCCACTCACTGACCATTTTCTGCAGGGTCAAGGTTTCTTCTTCCATCTTGCGCTGGATCATGTGGACCCAGTCTGAGGTCTGCCCCACTGTGAAGTTGATCTGCTGTACGGCTGCCCTAACATCATAGCAGTCCTGGGTCAGGCCCTTTAGTGAAAAGTCCAGTCCAGCCATGGCAGCCTGCCAGCCCCTCACCTGGGCCAGGAACTGCCCCAGAGTCTGGTTGACCTGGTGGATGGAGAAGGAGCAGCTGTCTACCACAGCCGTGATTTGGTTGCTGGCCGAGAAGAGCTGCTGATGGGTCTGGGACGTCTGATCCAACTGAATCTCCTGGACTAGAAGCATCTTCTGGATTTCCTCCAGCTCCTGCTGAAGTTTGTGGATCTCTTGTCCCAACTGCCCCGTGTCATGGCAGAAGGAGCAATTGCCCAGGGCTTTCTGATCTGTAGGAGAAGATGAGAAAATTGGTCATAGAACAGGGGCAGCTTCTGTAAACTGTTAGAGAAAGGAGCTGATTTTCCCATTCAGTCACTAACTTCTTTTTTAATTTAAATTTTTTTTTTTGGTGAGGCAGTTGGGGTTAAGTGGCTCGCCCACAATCACACAGCTAGTAAGTGTCAAGTGTCTGAGGTCAGATTTGAACTCAGGTCCTCCTGACTCCAAGGCCAGAGCTCTATCTACTATGCCACCTAGCTGCCCCTTTAAATTTTTAAAAGTTTGAGTCTCCTCATCTCACCCAGGCTGGAAATACAGTGGCAATTTAAACGCCTAATCTCACTGCTGACTGACATGAAAGCATTGACCAGCTGCCACCCCATCAGGCATCATTCATTCTTTCTTAATTTATTGTGCCAATATATGCACTGAGCTATGCTAGGCATTAACTAGGAGAAATACAAAGGTAAGAAAGTAGGAGATACCCTAACTTCTTTTTATAATTCCTACTCCAAAATCTCACTTAGAAAAGCTTCTCATTTGCCTGGAGTGTTTTCTTATAAATCAGAGTTTGGAAAAACTAAGCCTTTACTGCCCATTCCACCACAGGCCCACAGGCTTTTGCTCCCACAGATTTTCTGAACTATAAAACTATGATGATGGTGATGATAACTGATCCAAGAGCAACCTGGGCCTGGATAGGTGGGATTTTGTTTTCTCTTTGGCCCAGACCCATCTGGGCCATCTCCTGGCCATCTCCAGACTGCCCTTGTGTGTCTCTCTTAAGCTCTCTAGTACTTTGTTACTGTTGTCTTCCTCCATTAGAAATTAGAATTACCTCCATAAAAGCAGGGATTATTTTATTTGCTTGTATTTCTATTCTCAGTGCTTAGCATAGTACCTGGGCTGTAACAAGTGCTTAATAAATGTTCTCTCTCTCTGTTTGTCTGTCTACATACAGCTACAATCTATATCTACATCTATCTATCTTTTTTTTTTAAATGCTTTTTTTTGTTTGTTTGTTTTTTTTTTGGTCGAGGCAATTGGAGTTAAGTGAATTGCCCAGAGTTACACAGCTGGTAAGTGTTATATGTCTGAGGTTGCATTTGAACTCATGTCCTCTCAACTCCAAGGCCAGCGCTCTATCCACTGCACCACCTAGCTGCCCCATATGTCTATCTGTCTACTTACCTATCTACCTATCTACCTAAATAATATCTTATACTTCAAAAGATTTCAGATTCTTCTAATTTATTACTCTCTCCTTTGACATAAATTACCATTCCTCTATAGCTTCCTAGATGGTTGCTATAACCATCTCTTCCAAAAAAAGAAAGAAAAGAAAAGAAAAATCATTTTGTGGCCAACCTTCCGGTGATGAGAAATAGACTGATGCTCAGATGACTGGACACTTTCTAGATTTCCCTCCAGTTGTCCCATTCCCTGCCCTACCCCCACTACTGTGTACTTTGAAACAGCTATTTTATATTTACTTATCTTTGTACATGTTGTATCCCTCTAGTGTAGAAGTTCTTAATCTTTTTTGAGTCATGGACCTCTGTGACTGTCTTGTGAAGCCTATGGGCCCCTTCTCAGAATAATGCTTTTTAATGTGTAAAATAAGATGCATTGGATTACAAAGGAAGCCAATAGTGTTGAAATACAATTACCAAATACTTTAAAAAGCAAGATCTCAGACCTTCAGTCAAGAATCCCTACTCTTATGTAAACTCCCTGAGTGCAAGAACTACTTCCTTTTGTCTTCATATGTTCAGAACCTAGCACAATGCCTGGCACATAGTACATGCCCAATAAATACTTATTAGTTGTTGTTCAGTCTTTTCAGTTGTGTCTGACTCTTTGTGACCCCATTTTGGGTTTTCTTGGCAAGGATACTGGAGTAGTTTGCCATTTCCTCCTCCACCTCTTTTTGCAGATGAAGAAACTGAGGCAAAGAGAGTTAAGTGACTTACCCATGGTCACACATCTAATAAGTATCTGAGGCCAGATCTGAACTCACAAAGATGAGTCTTCTGACTCTAGGTCTAGCATTCTATCCACTGTGCCACCTACCTGCCCTGCTTATTAGTTGGTTGACGGGTTATCTGTGAACATATTCTATCCCTCTTGTTACTAGAGTCTAGTAGAACATTAGCTCCTTGAATGCAAGAAGTGTCTCACTCTGGTGCTTATGTCCCCTGAGCCTAGCACAATGGTGGCACATAGTAGATACTTAATGAAGGTTTGCTTATTGATTTGCTGATTGAATAGAGACTCAGTAGCCTTTGAGAATCTAGGGTCACTCCCTCACCACAGGGAAGAAGCAAGTATAAAACCTTTTGTGTGTGTAATATTAAATTTTTTTTGAAATGTTTTCATGTTTGTTATTGTCTTCTCTGATTTTTTTGTTAGTTCCTGGAGGCAAGTAGGACTGGTATTCACCTCATTTGATAGGTGGAGAACCTTAGACAAAAAAAAAAAATTAAATGACTTCATAGGTCTTTCCAAGACATGGTGGGATCAGAACCAGGACTGGAAAATGGCCCTGGAAGGACATACTTTCTAGCAGGAATGGGCCAACGTGACAGTCTGGTAAAGTCCATGGACCCCTTCTCAGCATAACGCTTGTCTCCAACATTCATAATTGAAGGAAATGCTAAATTTCAGAAAGAGATTAGGAAAGTAGAGATTTAATTCTTTTCTCCCATCTACATTCACAGATCCCTTGAGGGTCTTTGCAGCTCATCTTAAAAACCCTTGCTTTATAGAAAAGGAACTGAATAGGTAAAAGGTGGGATGTAAGCAGTAATATTGTACAGTTATCCCTCCCATATCACGAGGGTTAGGGGAGTGGGACCCCCTCCATCTGGAAAATCTGCATAAAATTTTTTGACTCTCCTTTCATACCAGAGAAGAAAGTCTGAATTATTATTAAAAGATAAAATGTGTTGATATTTTACAATATTCTACATATATTTTATGCATTTCTGAGTTTCTCAACCTTTTCTGGGTCACTTGCTGGCCTTCACGTGTTATCTGCGGCTTCCACAAAACTCCCCCACCCCCAAATTCTCGTTTAATTTCTTGTGTGATCCGCAATATAGTGAAACCATGGTGGAGAAAGTTATGATGTGGAAGGAATAACTGTATATCAGAAAGATGCACTTATGTGAGGAAATCTAGCAACCAGAGAGGAGAGACATGATGAAGACAACATTTGGGTAAAATTCACCAAAGACAGACACAGAAACAATATTCCATCAGACTATGACTCATAGACCACCCGTAGAGAAGAGAAATCGATTCATGGTCTGAGAAACAGATCAAAAGCATGGCACAAAGGCACGATATGGCAGTGATGCAAGGGAGGGGGGACTTCAATTTTCCAGACATCTATTGGAAGGTATCTGTCAAAAGCACAGCCGCTAATTACTCTTCATCTTGTTTTAGTGATAATTTCATCTTTTAAAAGGTAGAGGAACCTACAAAAGGAAATTCTATTCTGAACCTGATTTTCACCAGTAAGGAAGAACTTGATGTGGAGAAAAAATGATGACAACCCTGGGGGGAAATAACTGCTTTGTCTTAGAATGATAGAAAAGGGAGCTGTGAAAAATAGGTATTCTTAGATCTTGGGAGAGCAGATTTCAAAGGGTTCAAGGAAGGGATGAGTAGGAAAGATTCCATGAACTAAGATTCCATGGGGGAATGTCAGCCCAGAAAGGACAGGAAGCTCTCAAATCCTCACTCGAAGAGAAATAATTCTGAGGAAAAGGAGGAACTGTTAAAGAGATCAATGGAGTTTGACAGGAAACTGATCAACCAAGTTAGTTTTTTTTAAAAGGTATTGAGATGGAAGCAAGGGCAGGTAATAGAATACAAAATCGATGCAAGATTTTGTAAGAGCAGGGTCTAGGATGCTGAAGCTCAGATGTTCTAAGGCTGAGGGGGAAAACTAAGATTATCAAAAAGGTTTTGTTTTGCTTTTGTAACTTCCTGGGGGAAAAAAGAGTGGGAATGATATTGTTCATCCTTCATTTTCCAACAGGACCAATGACATCACAGATGATGTCTTGACTCATGTGTGAATTGAATTTAAGTAAGGCAGAGTTGCACAAAGTTGTCAGCCTCACTGTCTCTTCCAGAGTCAACTAAGTCCAGCGGCAAGAAAAAAGTCGGGACAACTGGTGACGGCTGGATGATACAAACATATGCAAGTGGGACAGTCTTTGGCCTCAAGGAACAGATATTCTAATGGAAGAAGAGGGATAGAAGGAAATGCATATGGGGGGTGGGTGGGAGGGCAGGAACCCCAGAGTAGCTAGGTCTGGAGATATCCAGGAAGTGATGTAAAGGCCTGAGACTGAGAAAGATAAGGCAAAAACCCCATCTATTAGATCCAAGGGTAGAGTCTGCAGTATGCTGGAGCCAGCTCTGCCAATTCTTAAGTTTTCAAAGTGGGTATTAAAACCTGAGAAATAGGAAATCACTACAAATCAGGCCTTGCTGCATTGTTTTGTTGATTGTCTAGACTCCTGAGAGCATATTAATAATGAAGATTAAACTTAAAAGAATGTGCATGCTTCCCTATCCCCGACTTTGGAGAGCCTGGGAAATGTTAATCACTTATAAGCAAATCCCTGGGCAGAGCCAAAGTTTCTGGTGGGGAGGAGGTGAGGACTGAGGCAGGAGTGGAGGAAGCAGGATTAGAGTGGACAGGATGATGCAGAGGAGTCCTGTTCAACTCTTAACACACCCCTGTTTTCTCTGCCGGAAAGAATGATGGTCTGGATAAGGTATGCATTCATACATGCTCAGGGGCTGCACCTCCTGCCCGTGGAACATGGTGGGCTTGTTAGGAGTCACGCCCAGACTCAAACTGGTCTCACCTGACTCCACTTCAGAGACGTGCTTGTTCCCCAGGAGCTGCCTCCTTCTCTGGAAGGCAAAGTAATCAGAGAAGGAGGAAATCCTAGAGATGAAAGGCACTCAGGAGGTCTCAGTATCTTGCAACATTAGTTACCGTTATTTCCTGCCCTTATTTCAAAGGTGGTGTGGTGCAGCGGATGGAGTGCTGCTTTTGGTGTCAGGGTGATCTGAATCCTTTCTCAGACACTCAGGAAAAAAGATTTAGAGCTGGAAGAAACTTTATAGATCATCTAGTCTAAATATCTCATTTTTCAGGTGGGGAAACTGAGGCCCAGAGAGCTGAAGTGACTTACTCAAGGCCAACCATATAAGCAGTGGAGCTGAGATCCAAACCCAGCTTCTCTAATTTCAAATCCAACCCTCTTTCCACCGTCTGCTGTGTGACCTTAGGCCTTCTCCAGGCATAGCAGCAGCAGCAGCAACAACAACAATAATAATGTAGCATAGCATTAAGATTAGAGAGTCTGGGTTCGAGTCTCACCACTGACACATACTGACAATGTGATCTTGGGCAATGTTACTTCTCAATGTTCCAGGCAACTCTTAGATTATAAATTGTAACAGGACTGGTCCATATAGCACCTACCTCACAGGGTTGTTGTACGTAGGGCTTCAGTGAAGCATTATATGTATGTATAACACTTTGCTGAGGCAGCTAGATGGTAGAGCATCTATCTAGATGATAGATAGGTGAGGCAGCCCAGTGATAGAGCTCTGAGTTTGGAGTCAGGCAGATCTGAGTTCAAATTTGGCCTTGGACATTTACTTGTTTTGTGACCCTGGACAAGTCACTTAACTTCCGTTTGCCTAGTAGGCAGCTAGATGGCTCAGTGAATAGAGTTCTGGATCTGGAGTCAGGAAGACCTGAGTTCAAATCCAGCCTAGATACTTACTAGCTGTGTGACCCTAGGCAAGTCATTTAACCTCTGTTTGCCTCACTAGAGAGGTAAATAGCAAGCCACTCCAGTATCTTTGCCATGGACAGAATTGCCGTGTAATGGTTCATGGGGTGCAGAAGCATCCAACGCAACTGAACAAAGCACTTTTTAAACCTTAAAGCCCTCTGTAAGGTCAGCAGTTATTATTTTACCCAGAATGGCTGATGTGAAACTGTGTAGTCTCCCAGTAGCTATGTATGTGACTTGGGAGCGCAAACCTGGCTCTCTCCTGGATGGCAGGGCAGCCGTAAGGAGGGGTGTAGATACACTCACCTAGCTCCTGGAGGTTTTCCTGCACAGAGACTATTTTCTTCTCATAGTTTGACTGGGTGATGGTGATGTCTTCTGAGAGAGAGTCAACCTTCTTAAACACTGTGGAAGAAACACAGGGGAGAACATGAGAGGCAAGGCCTTAGGGGAATTTGAATAGACAAAACAGAGCAATTGGGGGGAAGATGTAACAAGAGGAAATTGGATTAGGACCTCTCTGCCAGCCCTGCTGGCTCTGAAATTATATAATGGAAGAGCCTAAGAAATATCTGTTGCTTGATTGGGCACACAGTTAACTAGATGCTAATGAGTAAATGACTGTATTATAAAATCAGAGCTTGAGATTGGGAAGGGACATTTAGTGGTCATCCGGTACTGATTGTCATCTTACAGACGAAGGAGTTGAGATCTATCAGGGATGTAAAATGCCTTGTTTTGAATAACGAATGTAGTGAGTGGTATGGTAGATAGGGCACTGGATCTGGAGTCAGGGGAACCTTGGTTCAAATCCCACATCAGACACTTACTATCTATGCAACTGGACAAGTTACTTAACCTCTCTGGGGTTCAGTTTCTTCATCTGTAAAATGAGGAGATTGGACTCAGTGGTCTCCAAGGTCCTTTAGATCCTATGATAAGTGGGATAGTGGGGTGTGACTCCTGTGACTCCATTCTGTCTTGCTGACTCCTCTTTACCTCTAAATCCTATAACTTTATGATCAGGGAATGATGGAAAGGGACCCCCTTATTGTCCAGGGATACATTAAAATAATCTGGGATTCCCTGTGGCATGTAAGAGAATCTTCTATGGGCCCAGTGGACCCATAGACCATTAATTAACACCTGTCTACTGAGCATCAGCCTGGGCTTGAGGCTGACTATTGCTACTCAAAGCCAGAACCTCTAGGAAAGCAAGTAGAATCTAGGAGGGAAGAAGACTAACTTTATTCGAGTTTCAGTGGTGATCTGGGATTGATTTTCACCAGGGAATATTGTTTTTTTTAAAGGCAACCTAAGATAACATATCTAGACCTAGAAAGGACTTCCCAAGTCATTTTAGTCCAGTGGTGTCCAACTCAAATAGAAATGGATCCCTGCAGGCCCCATGTTGACTTAGAAAACCACATATTGACATTATCTGTGGTGGATTGAATGAAAAAATTTTTTTCTTTAAACATTTCTCAATGACAGTTTAATCTGGCTCAAGTTGCAATCAATGTGAAAATCAAACACAGTGTGAAATTGAAAAGGGGTAGGATAGGGAACTGACCTGTACTTTCACTGGTATAGGGAGAACTCAAGCATAGGAGGAAATTCCTGCTACCGATGCAGGTCAGCACCTTCCTGGTAGCAGGAAGGTGTGGAGCAGACCTGCACAAGTTGGCAGTATGTAGGGGCCAAAATTAAAATAGGCTGAACTTCTTTGGTCCGCAGACAGATTAGACTAGAGACAGACTGACAATGATTGGTTGCCACGGATCACGTAACAAACAGAAGAGTGCAAAGTGGCAACCCTACATTTTTTGTGGCCCAAAATCCTTTGGTGGGCCACAAGTGGTCTGAAGGCCTTATGTTGTGCAGGCCTGGTTTAGAGAGTTGTCTGGGGCCCTAAGAGGTTAAGTAACTTGACTAGGATCATGCAGTAAGTAGAGATCAGAGGCCTCTGAAAGCAGCTTTCTCTGCTCCCTATACCAAGCATAGGCCATACATACATAAAGAACTTTGAAAACTAAAAAGTCTGCTATTTCAGGGGAGTGTCAAGCCCACTTGAACTAGCTATTTTCAGAGTGAGTGCCACAAATTTGGGCATAATTTGTTGTTTTGCTGATATTTAGACTAAGAAAGTGGTGGAGAAAACATTATCATGCTGATTAATCTTAAAAGTGTGGTTGTTAAATATTTATCAGCATACCCTTTGTCTCTTATTTTTCTTTTCTTTTTTTTTTTTTGAAGGCAATTAGGGTTAAGTGACTTGACCAGGGTCATGTAATTAGTGAGCACCCCAGGCCAGATTTAAATTCAGGTTCTCCTGACTCCAGGGCCGGTGCTCTATGCACTGTACTACCTAGCTATCCCCTTCCCCCTCCTCTCACCCAGCTATTATTAAATCATATTTATAGCATAGCCAAAGCACTGGGAGGATTGGATGAAAACCTTTCCTTCTGCTTGCTACCTTCTGTGACCTCTGTGGTTGGAAAGGGAGCCTCAGGACCTGTGCTTACACGTTAAGTAGTGGATTGATTCCAGGCCCAGGCTGTTTTCTTGTCTTGGTCCTCTCAGGGTTTGGCCCCTGTGGGATACTCTGTCAGAACAGCTCAGATTGCCTGAATCCATCTCTAGGCTAGTCAGCTCCCCCCAGCCAGCTACAAGAGAGTTAGGTCATAAGGGACTAGTCTAACACCCCTACTTGGCTCCAGAGTGAGGCCCCAAAGTTACTTGCCCAAGCTAGTTATTGGCAGAGATGGACCAGAACCCAGGTCTCCTGACTCTTGTGTCCAGAGTTCTTTGCTCTATGTCATGTAACATGGTGACCCCTGTGTGGGTAGATTTGAGAGGGTCTATGAACTTGGATAGGAAAAAAATATATATCTTTATTTCAATATATTTGGTTTCCTTTGTAATCTTATGGATTTTATTTTATGCATTTAAAGACATTCTTCTGAGACAGGGCCCAAAGGCTTCATCAGGTTGCCAAACAGGTCCACGATACAAACAGGACTGAGAACCTCTGATTTATGTCCAAAAGGACACTGAGATTCTCCAGGTTAGAAAGTGGCAGGGATTGGAAACATGGGCCAGAAGACCCTGAGAAGTTCATAGGGATGAAGTGAACATCATAGGAAGTTATCAAGGCTCCATCCTCTGTAGTTTTGGCATGAGGAAAGTCATGCACGCTGGGGAAGGAGGGGTGTGCCTGTTGGGGGGAGGGTGGTCTCCACTCACCCAGTGAAGCCAGCACTGCCACAGCCACTAGCAGGAGGGCCAAGAAGAGGTACAGAATTCTCACGGATGTGTGCAGGGACAGGTTCTTCTGACAGCGGCTACAGCTGGGCCCTGCCGGGCCTGTGTGGGAAGAAGGGTAGGACTTTCTTAAAGGCTAGGTCTGACACTAGGGATAGAGGGCTCCCTCTGTGAACTTGGCCTTGACCTCCCTCAGGTGGCAGTTGTGCCACGGAAGAGAGGAGAGCCGAGCAGTTTTCTACTCCCTTTTCCAGGCTTCTCATCTGTTTTCTCCTGGTTCTAGAGGCCTTTGTAATGAGTGGGATTAACCTTATTAAGGCACCTCCTCTGTTTTTACCCCTTTCTCCCTTCCTTTGGGTATCTCTGTCTGTTATCTTTGAGCATGTGAGGTATATTTGAGGGGAAACCCACTATACTACGTCTAGAGAGTGGTATCATACTCAGATAGAAGCAGAGTCAGTAATCTGGACATCAGGATCCCCATGGGCCTCACATTGATTTCGTTTTAAAATGTATTATCTATGTTTTATTGTAGTTTTCTTTATTTTGTTAAATATTTCCCAATTATGTTTTCATCTGGTTCAGGCTGCACTCAGGATGTTTGATGTTTCTGGTCTAGGCTAACCTGAGGTTCCACGAAGGCTGCTTCCTGACAGAGGCAGGACCCACTCAGTTAATTCTTGGCTAATTGTTTTTAATTGAACCCTGCAGCTACAGTCACAAACCTCAGATCTTCTTTGGCAGCCCTCTCTAGCCTCACCTCTCTCCAAGATAGAGGAGGGACCTTGGTCCAGAGCTTGGAACTTTGCCAGAGACTGGGGAGATAGAAGGGGGAAATGGGAGAGAGGCTGGTTATGATCAGCCTCAGTGGTGGAGGTGGGTGAGGGAGAGGGGGAGTGCCTGATGTGGAGCAGGTAGAATACAGTAATATAACTTTGCCCCAAGCTTCAGGGTATTTAGGCACAACCTCAAAATCTGTTTCTTGGTCATCTCAGCCTCCAAATAACAGACCCCATCCATACCTGTTAAAATAGAAATTTTACCCCATGGTAATTTTTTTTTTACCAGATCAAGTGACTCTTCAATTGGGCCCTGAAGGATCTGTCATTTTGATGGGGGTGGGGTGAATCAGAAACATCCAAACTAGGGTTCCATGAGTGGGGGTGTGTGTGCATGGTTCTTAATATCCAGTGGGCAGCAAGAGGCTCTGGCAGAGGAAGGAGAGGGGCATTGAAAGGGAGGAAAGAGGGGACACTGAAAGAAAGGAAGTAGGCAAATTACAATCCTTGGTCTATTTCCAAACTGCTTTATTGATCCTGTCTGTCTGGGGCACTTCAGTGGGCAGTGAGATGGCTAGCAGATAACCTCGGCCTCCACTAGAGATACAGCCAGACTATTCTGCTGCTGCTTTGCTCTGGTTGAGAGTGTGAGGACCTAGCCACGTGGCTGTCCTGCCCACCAGACTGGGGAGGCCCCTTACCATTCTGGGTGCATGGGAATGCTGGCATTTCCTCCTCTTCTCCAACAGGTTCCTCTTCTGCTACACATAAGGCTTCTCCGTCGCCTCCAGTGGTCCTCACTGAGAAGGAGTTGGTGCCTGTCAGGACCCCACACCACCCCTCCAGCTGCTTCCTCCAACCCCTGACCCTGGTGCCTAGGGCTGCTCACTTTTCTCTGAATAGAACAGTGGTGATCTAAGAGAGAACTAGATGACTAAGGACTTGAGTTACAGGGGTTGGGATTTTTATGCAAACTTAACTTGCACGGGCCAATTTCTAAGCAAGGAAATGCTTTTGAAGAGATACAAAGAGCTATCTTACCACAAGTACTAAGCTAAGGTGTTTCTAGACCTGAATTCTAGTTCCACTCTGCCACTTACTACCTATATGATTTTAGGGGATACATGTCACCTCTTTTTCCTTAGTTTCCTCATCTGTAAAACAGAGTTAATAATACCCACAGTGTTACTCTATGATGTCATAGAATATCAGAGTTGGCAGGGAATTTAGAGATTGTTAAATCCATCCTAGGATCCTCTGAGTGTGGGGCAAGGTTCCTTATTTTGCAGATGAAAAAAATGAAGAGCTACAAAGAGGTAGTGATTTCTTCAAAGAGGGGACTGAAGGGAGAAATGGGAGAGAGGCTGACTAGGATCATATAGTAATCCAGTTTTCAAGGACAGGCTAGACGTTAGGTCTCCCAATTCTCAGCCTGAGCTTTTTCAATTTACTTAAATCCTTCAAACATTTTTAAAAAATTTTTTGGGGGGCAATTGGGGTTAAATGACTTGCCCGGGGTCACACAGCAAGTGTCAAGTGTTTGGTCTGAGGCTGGATTTGAACTCAGGTCCTCTTGACTTCAGGGCTGGTGCTCTATCCACTGCCCTTCTTCAAACATTTATTAAGCACTTACTATGTGCAAGGCATTGTACTAAATATTGGGGATACAAAATCGGAAAACAATCCTCGCCTCTGGCCTTAAGGAGATTGCAATCTAATAAGGGCAGATAGATATGTGACCAAAAAGGGTGGGGTGGGGTAGAAACTGTATATAAAGTGATTTTTAGGTTTTATAAAGGCTATCAGAGTGTATGCTGTTGAGGTGTTCTTGCTCTTGCCTCTTATCAAACAGGAGGTAGAAGCCAGGAAGAAGAAATGGAGTCATTGCCCTTCTTCCCATTCCCCTGAACAGGTCTGGAAGCAGGGTAGAAATCAGCTTCTAATGGAGGATGAGTGGGCCTGCTTGTGGGTGTCTATTCTATAGCTGGCCCCAACTGGGACTACATCCTGAACTAGATCCTAAGGCTTCAGAGAAGAAATAGTAGTGCCCAATCTGAGCCCCAAGGGGTAACAGAACAGTCTAGCCGGGGTCAGCTTGTAAATAGCCTTCCTAAAATATGGTGTCCAGGACTGAACGTGATTCTTCCTCTGGATGTGGCCAGACTAGGCAGAGTACAGAAGGACCACCACCTTCCTGGACACTCTGCTTCCAAGAATGTAGTTTAACATGGTGGTGGCCTCTCTGGTTGGCATATGTAAGTTGGGATAATGTGTGTGTGTGTGTGGGGAAAGATGTTCACTAGATGATCTCTCTAAGATCCATTCAAGGTTCAACATTTGATTTCTTTATAGAAATGGAAGTCTTTCCCAAAACTGTGGAGCAGGTCAATGTTAGAAGAAACGACTTTAGAATCCCCACCCATCTCTCATCTGTAAAATGAAAAGGTTGGAGTTGACGGCCTTAATTAAGGTCTCTTACAACTCTAAATCTATGAACCTAGGATCAGGTACTTTTATCTCTGAACCTCATGGTCCCTAAACTAGGGGACAATTAAGGACTTTTCTAGAACAAAAAGAGAAGAGGACTCAATACTTAGTCTCCCTCTACCCCAAATGCCTTATTTTAGGATGATGGACAGAACTGGAAGGGACCACAGAAGCCATTAGATCTGATCTTCTCATTTCATTTTTAAAGTTAATTTTATTTTTTTCCAAAGAGCAAAAATCTAATACCTCTCTTTCCTGCCTCCCTCTATAAAATCTATAGTAATGATAAGAATAGTTAGCATTTATACAGCACCTATTACATACCAAGCACTTTATAAATATCTCATTTAAGCCTCATAACAACCCGGGAGGTAGTTGCTATTGTTATCCCCATTTTACAGAAGAGGAAACTCAAGGCAAGGAGAGGTTAAATGACTTGCTGAGGGTCACACAACTAGTAAGTGTCTCAAGCTGATTTTAAACTCAGATCTTCATGGCGCCAGGCCCAGTACTCTATCCATTAATTGCCTCAAGCTACCTTGTACCCTTTATTTTACAGAATGAAGAAATTGAGGTAAAATGACTTAAATCCAGGTTTTACGTACCTAATAAATATCTGAGACATGATTGAGACAAAAGTCTCCCCCTCCCCTCAGGCCAGCATTTAATCTATTTTGTCATACCTCTTCTCTGAAAAGATTATGCAAATGTGATAAATCAGAAGGACTGGCCAGCAATGGCTTTAGAACATGGGACAACATCCATGCAGGTTTAGCTAGTCTGCTTCTGGAAATGTCCTCGGCAGAGCAGGCATAAATGTCTCATGTTACTGGTGGTGACAAAACAAGGAAATCCTTATCTTCGGAGCTGAACTGAGTGTGCGTACAAAAGGCTAGAAAAATCGAACTCTCCCTCTCCCATTGTTGTTCAGTCTTTGCAGTCCTGTCTGACTCTTTGGTCAACCTAGTTGGGGTCTTCTTGGTAAAGATACTGGAGTGGTTTGCCATTTCTTTCTCCAGCTCATTTTACAGATGAGTAACCTGAGGCAAACAGGGTTAAGTGACTTGCCCACGGTCACATAACTAGTAATATCTAAGGCCAGATTTGAACTCAGGAAGATGAGTCTTCCTGACTCCAGGCCTCACTCTTTATCCACTGTACCACCTAGCTGCCCAAAGAATTCTTGGATGGCAGTGGTGGGATTCAAATCCATGCCCCAGAAAAGACTGAAGCCTTAATCTAGAGCCTTAGAGCTCTCTGCCAAGCTACCACAGGTACTCGGTACTTTTACTCTCCCCCTTTTACTGATGAAGAGGTGCCTGACATGCCCAGTGTCACATGGCTAGTGAATGCCTGAGGTCAGATTCCAACTCAGTTCTTCCTGGCTACAAGTGCAGTGCTTAACATGTGCCTGGCTCTCTGATAGCTGCTTGGAAGACAAATACAGATGTAGTGGTAGCCCTGTCCTGAAGGAGCTTGTACACCATTGGATCCAATAAGGATCTGGCCTCCTTCTCAGGGGAATGAGGGAGATGGTAAATGATGATGGAAAGGAGGCTGAGCTGCTCAACTCTTACTTCCACTGCATTTTCTCTGTCAAAGAGGATGACCTTTCACTAGAAAGGTCAGAAACGATGGCTAGTAAGGAAGTATGTGTGTGTGTGTGTGTGTGTGTGTGTGTGTGTGTGTGTGTGTGTGT